GGCAAAAAATAGTCCTTGCTAGCCTGGAACTTGGGGCAATCTTCCTGTCACTACCCTAAGGGCTGAGATTTACAGGTTGAGCACCACCAGGCCTGGCTTACTTGGCGAAACAATTTTTTTAATTGCATTTCACAGTTAAAATTACAGGAAATTCAAGTTTCAGAGTCCATAAATAAAATTTTATTGGACACATTCACACTCATTTGCTTACAACTCAACATATAGCTACTTCCACATTACAGTCACTTGTGGCTGAGTAGTTGCAGGAGAGATGATATGGTACACAGTTTAAAATACTATCTTTCCCCTGCAAGGAAAAAAAAATGCTAACCTGTGGGATAAGGTATATATTTTAACTACATAAAAAAAATTTCCCCAAGGTAACAACTGCACACCACTAGGACACAAACTAATGCTGGTAAGGACGTGAAGTCAAAGCAGTCATACATCACTGGTAGAAACAAAGTGGTTCAAGGGACACAGACATCAGTTCCTCAGAAAGCAAGCAAAGACCCAGCAATTCCACTCCTAAGTATTTACCTAAGAGTACTGAAAATATATTGGCACATGAGTTTGTATATGTGTTCAGAACAACATTATTCTTAATAGTCAAAAAGTAGAAGCTGAAATGTCCATCAACCAATACTCAAAACATATAGTTTTAATTATATGGTGACATATTTCTCAGCCACAAAAAGGAATCCTACTACAATATGAACCTTGAAAACATATGCTAAATGAAATGAAAAAGTGACAAAAGGCCACGGATTTTTTTTTATGGATGTACAAAGTATAGAATTCCAAACACACACTGAAAATAGATTAAGTGGTTGCCGGGGTCTTGGGGAGTAGAAGAATGCTAACAGGTATATTTAGCTTTCTTGTGGATAATGAAAACTGTCCTGAAATTACAGAATGGAGGTGACTGAACAACCTTATGAGAGAATACTATGAGCCACTGAACACTTAATTTTTAAAACTTGAATATTAGTTTCTCAGAAATGACCATTAATGCTGAGTGCCTGTTAAAGCACAGATAAGCCTAGATAAAGCATATACTTATATATCAGTTATTAGTTATTTTCTTCTGCTCAGACTTGGTTGTTCATATTCTGAAACCATTTATTTTTTCAGTCATAGATGTTTTCCTGTAAATGGACTTTTTTTCCGCAAAGTTTTGTTCTCCTCACCTGCCTCTGCAATAAAGCCACTTCTTTAACTACTGCTCATGAAGAAGTTCCATCTATGTATGGCTTAATTGCTCTTCCCTGTAACTGACATGATGGAAGGTTTCTCCTCCCTAAACCTTAACGTCTTGTTACATCACACCCTCACATGTCACACAAGCAATTGCCCTTCACTGTGAAAGGAAGTGAATGACCAAGCCTAAATTCACAGGGTTGGAGATGTGCAATACATCCGTGGGGAGAGTATCTTCAACAATTATACAGGTTACCATAGCTGTCTTAACATGGGGGGGGGGCCAGGGGGAGCAGCAGTAATTTTAATTAATTGCTCTCTGTTACCTCCCTGGCCCCATCTCACATCATCTCATTCTCGTCACAGTGGTCTTCTGGCTGTTCCTCAAATACAGTATGTTCTTGCCTCTGTAGGAATATTCTTCCCTAAGTAACTACTGGCTCATTCCCTCATGTTTCATAGGTCATTATGAATCATCTCAGTGAGGACTTCCCTGACCTGTTTTTAAAACTGTAATCACTTCTGTCCAACACATACACCCCATCCCTTCTCAGCTTTATTTTTCTTCCAGGTCTCAAAAACCATCTGATATATGATGTGTACCTGTTTTTCTCCCCTGCTGAACTGTAAACATGTTGTTCTGCATTCTACAATAGTAACAACTCTTAGGAGTACTGCAGGTACTCTACCCAGTTGTTGAACTAAGAGAGACAAGAAGCTGGCCCAGTCTAATGAACAATCTGCAGCCATACTTGACAATGTTAACTTTAGCATCAAAAGGATGTAGATTAATGGAAATTATTAAGACAGTGGCCATAATTATAAATGCTCCCACAGTCTCCATGTTGGATGGAAAACCCTGCTCTAGCCATCATATCCCTGGGTTCTACACATGCTTTATGATGCTGAAATGTGCCTTCTTGGCCACACAAGTGGGAGGGGATGGGAGTAAATTTAAGAGAAATATACTCTTTTCTGTTCTGAGATTTTTTTTTTCACTCATTCACAGGATTTTATTATTAATTTTTGTTGTTAAGTCAGGGTCTAACTAGTAGCCTTGGCTGTCCCGGAAATCATTATGTATACCAGGCTAACCTCTAATTCACAAGAGATCTGCCTGCCTCTGCTTCCCAGGTGCTGGGATTAAAGGTGTGTGCCATCACACCCAAACACATTCATAGGATTTAATAATCTAAATCAGCACTAAAATTCAGGGCTGTTAAAATGGTAAAAGGGCAGAAGCCAGAGCCGACAGAATTCTTTTTTCCTTTTTACATGTTTTATGGGTATGGAGTGGAAGGGGTTGGTTTACTAACTTGCTGAGTAAGAGGACACACACAAAATACTTCAGTTGGGAGTCTAAAAGAAATAGTGAGGGATATCACCTATAGATAATACAGCAAATTATCACAAAAACCTGTGGCTTAAAACCACACGTCAGTTCTCTCCATTTTAAGACTGGAATCAATTCACTTACACTGGACTAATAAGAACAGGAATAGTTCCTTCTGGGGAGACACTGCAGAGAACCCATTTTCTTGCCTGTGGCTTTCAGAACCACTCACATTGTGGACAGTTCAGCCTTAAAGCCAGGAACAAGTGAATTAAATGCTCATCAAAGACAAGAAAGGTAAACTAAATGTTCATTCTTTGAAATACTCTACCTTCACTTTCTGCATCTGATTCCAACCAAAGTTCTCTGCCTACTAAGGGCCTATGTGATTAAATGGCACTCATCTTGATAGTCTAGGACAGTCTCCTCCTCTGTCCTGTTCCCCAGTCATTCAGGCCTAACACCAACAATTGCCCAGGCTGCATTGGGAGTCATCTGAAATTCTCCCAATTCAAATCTCACCTTTACCTCTTTAGTTGTTTGTTTTGTTTGTTTGTTTGTTTTTCAAGACAGGGTTTCTCTGTGTAGCCTCACGCTTTTCCTAGAACTCACTTGGTAGCCCAGGCAGGCCTTGAACTCACAGAGATCCGCCTTGCTCTGCCTCCCAAGTGCTGGGATTAAAGGCGTGCGGTGCCGCCGCCGCCGCCGCCACCGCCACCACCACCACCACCACCACCACCACCTGGCTTTTACCTCCTTAGTAAGAAGTATCCATCTTCTATAGAGTAGTTTTTTTTTTCATTACAACAGTTATTCTTGATCATTTTAAAAAACTAATTTTAGAAAAGAGCAAGGGGAAACAATTCACACATCACACAAACCCCACGTGGACTCACTCCAATTTCATAGCTGACCCCTCTTCCTTGGGGTACTTGCCCTCAGACCATACCTGGTCTGGTGCTGATTTCCTGTTCCAGAATCTAGAATGTAGAATTAAGAAGCAGGGACAGTCTAACATTAATACTGCAATACATTCATGTTTTACTTGAGAATAACAGACACGAAGTGTCCAGCCCTTGAATGATGTGGACAGTCCACTAGGGGTTTTCATATTTCTTACTGATACACATAACACTATACAGCAGCAGTTCTCAACCTGTGTCATGACCCCATTAAGGTTAAATGATCCTTTCACAGGGGTCACCTAAGACCATTGGAAAACACAGATATTTACATTACAATTCATAACAGTAGCAAAATTATAGTTATTAAGTAGCAAAGAAAATAATTTTATGGTTGGAAGTCACCACATGAGGAACCATTTAGAGAGTCACAGCATTAGGAAGGTTGAGAACCACTGCTACAGACTGTTACAAATGATTGTGAATATCATGGGAGCATGAGACTAATCTTTTTAATGATGAGATTGAAAAGTACAGAAAAGAAATATATACCTCAATCTCAGCACTCTTAATATTCTGAGACGAATTAACTGTTCCAGGGGCTATCTTTGTAGGAATGGGACAATATCTTTGGCCTCTATCTACTAGGCACCAATAGCTTTTCCACCATGTGGATGCAAGGAACTGAACCTAGGTCCTCTGCAGGAATAACAAGTGCTCTTAACTACTATCTCTCCATCCCCATCATATGATAGTTCTTCCTGTCAAAGAAGGGCATCCATACAGAAGAGTGAGATGTTTGACTTCCTTATGAATCTACTCAACAGCCTTAATTATTTCAAAATAGACTTAAGATCCCCCCTCCATAGGAACCAGAAGATAGAAAACAGGATCAAGTCAAAATTACCAGGAGAGCTACTCACAGGCCTTTGAAGCTTTCAACCAAATTGTCTAGCTTTCATTCAGCCAGCATTGCACTGAGAAAGGAGATGCTAGGATTATCCAGATTTTTCTGTAACTTTCTCTTCCCTATCCTCAAACTGATAAGCCTCTCCCTCCACAATGCCGTAATCTTTATAATCCAAGTTCCAAAAGAAATGATTCTAGGGTCAGGATGTTCTGATTCTAGAGAAGCTTCTGTTTATAAACACCTGTAGAATCTTACAGCTTCCTGTAACCATAAGCTAGCCTTTGTAGGATGTCTAACAATATCTTTGGCCTCTATCCACTGGCAAAGATCCAAGAAAACACCAAATTCACTTCCTTTTAGCTTCACTTCTATATACATCATCAAATTATTATATAAAAATGTATAAAAAGTTAAATTACACAATTGTAGTCTCCTAAGAAAGCCATTAAATTTTTTCCATCATACACTGTTAACCTATAGCCAAATATGAACACACTTAACATGACTATAATAATAATAGATCTATTTTATGCCTTCTTTTGCAATGATTTAAGTATTTTTAGTATGGCAACAAAACCTTTGGATTTTGCTTCAAAGGACTTGAACTCTAAATAAATTAGTGTCCTAAATGATCAACAATGATGAAGGCAAGTGATAACTGAAATACAACAATTTAATGTTTTCTTGTTCAACAACTAAAGCAATGGATCCTATTTCTTAGAAGCAGCCCTTCCCATCATAGACAGTATTTTAGTATTACGAGGGACAAATTCATTTCAATCACAAGCAACTCTTACATCCAGTTTCACCTCATTAAATGAGTCCTCAGTGTTCTAGCAGCACCATAAAACAGAAGTGCATTCAAACAGCAAACTCAACTAAACCCTGTGGTTGTTGTGGTGCGTTGTGTGAGACCTCTCACCACTATGCCTGCCTTTGCTGATACAGGAAAGACAGTAAAACCTCCTGACAAAAGCTTCTCTTCCTAATTAAACTCAGAAGCTTAGAGTCTAATCATCATTTGCTTATATACAATAAGGTGATACTCTCTATTAAAGATGCCTCCTACTGATTATCTACTGAATGCATTCACAGGTTCTTTCCAATTTAAGTATCCTGATGTAAAGTTAGGTGGGTATTTCTAGGGAAATATCCTCACTTCTGGGTACTTTATTTCAGTGTATGCACTACATGTTCGGTATAGGCTGAATCATCCCTGAAGCCTTTTCTACATTGATTACCATTCAATCCTCTCTTCAGGAGTTCCCTAATAACAGAATTAATGGGATAATAGAATATTTCATATTCAAATTCTTTTCTGTTAACAAGGGAAGTCATATATGAAGATATATCTCCTTTGTTCACTCAAGAAGAATATGGCCCACGTTCATTATGCTTCCACAGGCTGCTCTTTAATGTGTGTTCTCTGATGTCGGACAAGACACCAGCTCCTTCTAAATATTTTCCCACAATGAGGACACTGGCTGGGACCCTCCCTGTTATGAAGTCGCTGGTGTACTACCAGGTGAGTATTCTGCCTGAAGGACTTTCCACACTTCAGACACTGGTATGGAGTCTCTTTAGTGTGAATCCTCTGGTGTTTGGTCAGACAGGAACTATCCCTGAAAGCTTTACCACACTGATTACACTCATAAGGCCTTTCACCAGTATGAATCCTCTGATGCCGGATAAGTCCAGCGATGTTCCTGAAGAGTTTACGACACTGGTTGCAACAATAGGGCTTCTCACCAGTGTGAATCCTCTGATGCCTGATGAGGTATGCACTCTCAATGAAAGTTTTCCCACACTCTTTACATTCATAGGGTTTCTCCCCAGAATGAATTTTCTGATGCACAATGAGGTGAGAGTTGCGATTGAAGGATTTCCCACACTCTACACATTCAAAAGGCTTCTCTCCAGTGTGTGTCCTCTCATGCTGGGTGAGGTATGAGCCATCTCGGAAAGCCTTTCCACATCTGCTACACTCATAAGGCTTCTCACCAGTATGGATTCTGAGATGTACCGTAAGGTGAGAGATGTCAGTGAAGGGTTTCCCACATTCATTACATCTATATGGTTTCTCCCCTGTATGAGTTCTTTGATGCAAAATCAGGGATGAATTTCTGTTGAAAGTTTTTCCACATTCTAGACATGCATAAGGCTTCTCACCTGTGTGAATCCTCTGGTGTTGTGTCAGAGCTGATCCATCACTAAAAGCTTTCCCACATTTACTGCATTTATAGGGTTTCTCTCCTGTATGAATCCTTCTATGTACAATCAAGTTGTAGTTCTTGGAGAATGATTTTCCACAATCATTACAGGTATAAGGTTTCTCACCAGTGTGAGTTCGGTGGTGTAAAACAAGAGAAGAGTTCCGTTTGAAGCATTTGCCACATTCAGTACATTTATAGGGTTTCTCAATGGAATGACTTCTTTTTTCATTAAGAGATGAGCTCAGGGCCAAAATGTCCCCAAAGTCCTTACCTTTGTAAAATTTCTTGCTTCTTTTCTTAATTTTTTTATCACAAAGGGGAGTAGTAAAGTGGTTTAGAGATTTAATACTTTCTGTGTATTTATATGGTTTGTCTCTCATTTGGTTTCTTACAGGTTGAGTGACTTCCATGGAAGAGTGGATGGCTTTTTCACAAGCATCACTATCACCAGTTCCCCTCGCTGTATAACTCTGGGGACAACTATGTAAGGTCTGTTCACAATCAAAAGTTTTAATGTCTGAGTTATGAACATGGAAGCCATTTGTTGCTAGAAGGGCTGGATTTGTACTCAAATGCTCCCCCAAACCAAGATGGTCACAATTTGCTTCCTGAACCCCTGGTTTCTCATCAATTAAAGGAGATTGCCTTAAAATTCTTTCCTGGTTCTCACAGTCCCAATTGTCACCTAAAATGGGAAGGCAGGATTCCTCTCTTTTAATTCCTTCCATTTCTACCTCAAAGGAAACTTCTTCTTCTTCAGAAACATTCTGAGCTATTATTTTCAGTCTCATGTTCCATACTGAAAAAAAAAGAAAAAGACAAATTAAGTAAACACAGATATATCTGGGGGAAAATGAAAAATGATAATGGGCTAAGTGAATATATTTTACTTGTTTTCTTTTTCAAATTCATATCTTTAAAATAGGGAGTTCAAATGAGTGCCAAGACCTGAAGCCAAGAGCAGGTTCAAAAGAAGTGACATTACATTGTAACTCTCTCGGAGAACAGGTCAAAGGAATACTGTGTAAGGATAAATAATAACAAGTTAATACTTATACATACCTATGAAATGATCTTTTTTTATAATTTTTGTTTTACTTTATGTGTATAGGTGTCTTCTGTACAAGTTTATATGTGTACCACATACATGTCTGATGCCTGCAGAAGCCAGAAGAAGGTATAGGATCCCGTGGAACTGGAGTTTCAGATGGTTGTGAGCCACCATGTAAGGACTGGGATTTAAACCCAGGTCCTCTGAAAGAATAGCTAATGCTCTTAACCACTCAGCCATCTCTCCAGCACCCTATGGAATGATCTTAAAAGAAAAGAAGGGCTGGGTGGTGGTGGCCCATGCCTTTAATCCCAGCACTCGGGAGGCAGAGGCAGGCAGATCTCTGTGAGTTTGAGGCCAGCCTAGTCTACAGAGTGAGTTCCAGGACAGCCAGAACTGCTTCACAGAGAAACCCTGTCTCGAAACCTCCCCCACCCACCAAAAAAAAAAAAAAAGAAAGAAAGAAAGAAAGAAAGAAAAGAAAAGAAAGGAAGGAAGGAAAAAGACTAGTAATGAAGATAAAACAATGTGATTGGTCATGATTACTTAATAGCAAAGTAGAAGACCAAGAATGATTGAAAGTTTCTTTCAAATTACTGAAGGGAAAAACTACAAGGTTCACCAAGATTCAGGAGTGAGAGTAAAATAAAAACAAATTCAGAAAAGCAAAGACAATTCTTCAAAAGAAGGGGGACTGAAGAAAGGAGGAAACAGAAAAAAAAGTATATGATAAATGGATAAATCCAATCCAATGCTGAAAAGAAAAAAAAAATCAGTGTTGGCCAGATAAGGAGCACAGTGAAATACAACAGTAGTAATGTGCAACAAAACACAGATAAGGCATCCTTGAATGGAAGAAGAAATCAATATATTCAAACACCACAAAAGGCTTATTTCTTTTCAGAACTGGAAATTAAAAAAAAAAAAAAAAACAAAACTGCTGGACAAAGACAAGCAGCAAAAATTTTCAGTAGCTAGCCTCATCAAACAACGGGATGAAAAGCAATGTACACTGAAAGCCAAATGTTTTCTAAGCACATGTGAAACATTCACTTAACATGGACCATAAACCAGACCACAAAAAATACTGAGCAAAGGCCAGGCAACAGCCTGAAAGACCAGTCTACTGGATACAAAGCAGTCAAGCTAACAACCAACTGACAGAAGAAAACCAAATACAAGAAAACAATAGATAAAACAAACCTGTGCTTCTTTGGAAAAGTATTAACATGATAACCTATTTTTCAGTGATGGATAGAACTAAAACCTTGATAAAAATAAGAATATAACTATAAATAAACAAGAATAAAAATGCTATTATCACAAAACATGACAAATGGGGCTGCAGTAAAGTTAGTTCTTGGATAGAAAGTATTATTCTTTAAAGCTTATAGTAAAAAAAAAAAAAAAGACCACAGAGCTAGGAGTGTATCTTGGAAGAGTGCTGACCTAGCCTATCTAATATACCCTGTGTTCCAGCCCTACCATCACAAACAGTAACAATGTAGCAGGTGAATAGCCATGGGGACAGACCTACCGCTAGCTATGGATTTTCTCCAAGCTGTTATGACTGATGATTGTATATACTACTAGTATGAATAGAAAAACCACATCTGCAGCTGTGGGTAAAGCATGGTGTTCCTGGAATGGCTGTTAGCTAAAACACAATTATCCACTGCTCCTAATTTCATTTGGATGAACCATAAACTCCCACTGAGTGGTGCTCCAGAACAACATAGTATGCACCTTGCTCTTCCACTAAAAAGAAAATTCAAGCTTGGCCACCACTTTTGCCACCTTACAAGAAAAAGGGGGGAAAATGCTTGAACATGTAAAATTTGAGGCATTTTATGTATGATTAAAATTATGACTATAATTTTACCACCTACTATTAACTTGACTAAAAAAAAAAAAAGAACAAAACAGAATGCTAGTGAGTTCACTCCTCACACTATACTCCATTTATATACAATCCCTATGTGTAATAAATGAAAACGTATTTTTAAAGGGAAAGACTATCCTAAGAAATATTAGAGGACTTAAAAGTAAAACGAGGAGTAAGGGGAACACTCCTCCCCTGCTGGTAGGAGTGCAAACTTGTACAGCCACTCTGGGCAATCAGTATGGCAGTTTCTCAAAATAATACAAATCAATCTACCTTTAGAACAGAGATACCACTCTTGGGCATATACCCAACGGATGCTCAATCATACCACAAGGACACATGCTCAACTATTTTCATATCAGCATTATTCATAATAGCCAGAACCTGGATACAACCTAGATGCTCATCAACCAAAGAATGGATAAAGAAAATGTAGTACATTTACATAATGGAGTATTACTCAGTGGTTAAAAAAAAAAAAAACAATGACATCATGAAATTTGCAGGCAGCTCTGGATATGGAAGATGGTTCTTTGGCTCAAACCATTTGGGGGGTACCCAGGCAGGGGGATCGGGACCTGTCCCTGGTCTATGGGCAGGCTTCTGGAACCCAGTGCTTGTGGTGTGACACCTTGCACAGCCTTGGTGCATTGGGAAGGGGCTTAGACCTGCCTAGGCTCAGTGTGCTGTGCTCCGCTGACTCCTCATGGGAGACCTCGATTTGGGGGATGTGGGGATGCAGGGTGGCTTGGGAAAGAGGGCTGGGGGTGGGAAGAGGGAGGAGGGAGGACCTGTGGATAGTATGTAGAGTGAGTAGAAAATTTCTGAGTGAGGCAACCCAGACCCAAAAAACCAAACATGGTATGTACTCACTCATAAGTGGGTATCAGATGTAAAGCAAAGGATAACTAGGCTACAATCCACAGCCCCAGATAAGCTAAGTAACAAGGAGGACCCTAAGAGGGATTCATGGATTGCCCTAGGAAGGGAAAATAGATAGATCTTAGATCTCCTGGGTAAACTGGGGGCGGGAGGGGAGGTGAATGGGAGGCAATGAAGGATGGGAACATGAGGGATCAGGATGGTCAAGCTGGAGGAGGGACGGAGTGGGAGAGCAATGAAAGTGATATCTTGATAGAGGAGGCCATTATGAGGTTAGGGAGAAACCCTAATGCCAGGGAAACTCCCAGGAACCTACAAGGATGACCCCAGCTAAGATCCCTAGCAATAGTGGGGAGGATTCCTGAACTGGCTTTCTCCTGTAATCAGATTGGTGACTACCCTAAATGTCATCATAGACCCTTCATCCAGTAACTGATGGAAGCACATGCAGAGATCCACACTAAGCACAGGGCCAAGCTCCAGGAGTCCAGCAGAAAAGAGGGAGGAAGGATTATACAAGCAAGGCAGGGTCGAGATCATGATGGGGAAACCCACAGAGACAGATGACCCAACCTCATGGGAGCTCACAAACTCTAGACCAACAGCTAGGAAGCCTGCCTGGGACCGACCTATACCCTCTCTGCAAGTAGGTGACAGTTGTGTAGCCTGGCCTGTTTGTGGGACCCCTAGTGCATGAGCTGGCTTTTTGGAACCTATTCCCTAAAGTGTGATGCCTCACTCAAGCTTGATGCAGGGGAGAGGAGCTTGGTCCCACATCATCTTGATATGGCATGTTTTACTGACTGCCAAGGGAGGCCTTACCTTTTCTGAAAGGAGGAGTGGATGAGGGGAGGGGGATTTAAGGGAGGTGAAGGGAGGGAACAGGAGGAGAGGATGAAGGGGAAACTGTGGTCGGTATGTAAAATTAATTTTAAAAATTGTTTTAATTAAAAAAAAGTAAAACGAGAGGGCTAAAGAGATGGTTCAACAGTGAAGAGCACTTGCTGTTTTGGCAAAGGACCCATGAACGATTCTGAGCATCCACATGAAGGCTCAGAACTATCTCTAACTCCAGTCCCAGAAATTCAAATACCTTCTTTTTGTCTCTGTGAGCACTGCATGCATATGGTGCACATGAATACACACAAACAAAACACCCATATACATAAAATTAAAATAAAAAGTAAAAAATTTAAGATCTGACAAGTTCTACCTAAGTTCAGATCGTGATTGTCTTCCGAATAAGGTGGGTAACTACCTTGAGAATTTTTTTAAATAAATAAAAAGATAAATAAATATAAATTTAATTTCACCTAGAACTAATACTTATTTTATCAAAGCCTAAGACTTAACACAACCAACAAAGTCAAAAGAAACACACCAGATGGGAGACAATGTATCTAGAATACATAAAACTCAGAAGTCAATAATAAAATGAGACAGGCATGGTGAGGCACACCTATAATCTCAGCACTTGAAAGGAGACCCTGCCCCTCAATAAATAAATAAATATGACAACCCACATTTTTTAAATGAACAAAGAAAAGATCTTGTCTTGCTTTAGATTGCTTTCTGAATTCAAATACACAATAGTCTCATGGCATAAGTGACAGAAAGTTGTATCTCACAGTCCTGGAGTCTGGGAAATCCAAAACCATGGTCAGGTTTAGGTCAGGGGTCATTTCCTAGCTTGCAAGTAAACAATAAGCAAAAGAAAAGATGCTCAATACCACTAGCCACGAGAAAAACTCAAATCAAAGCAACAATGAGATATCACTTCGTATTCACTAAGATGCTGTAATCAGGTCCACTTCTATGTAGCTATTCCACAAGACAGAAAAGCATACATCTATTTTTAAAAGTTTCACAGCATTATTTGTGACATCCAAAACAAAATATTCTGAAGAAATAAAAATCCATAGAGTATTACAAAACTGAGCAAAATACATATTCATTCTATAACATGGATGAATTTTGAAGA